GTGGGAAGAGCACACAGGAGGGAGGCAGCCAAGGGAAGGGGAGCCATTTCCTTAAGTGTGAAACAGGACTTTCATGGGGAGAATGGACCAAATGAAAGAAGACAGCTTTTACTCACATAATACAATTTATTTCTCCTGATGAAGGGCTTCAATGAAAGCATCAAGTTTTTCTTGAATTTCTCTAACTTTCTCTGTGGAGATAAAAAGAGAACGAATCAATGTAATAGAAATTTAGTTTAAAAGGCATCACAAGAGAATGCTTGTGTAGCTTTTTGGAGAATGGGGGAAAAAAGGAGCTTCAACATTCTATCTTACATCTAAAGAAGTACAGCTGGAGCACTAAGTGGTGTTGTCTAACCGAGGATCTAGCAGGAATTATGGAACCTCACACAGAAAAATGCATGCAGGTTCACCGACATGGGAAATTATGTACAGAATTGTAAAGAGTTCACAGACTGTCTGAAGTGTAAAGAAGGATTTATATTTAGCAGTGCGTGAGACAGAGGAAAACAATAAGATGATTTTAAAAATGTAAGAAAATACTAATGAGTAAATAGCCTCAGACTGGGAAATGATTTTCTAGGGAAAAGCAATGGGAAAAGTTATAAAGGCAAAGATAAATCTACATCACTAACTCCAGTACTGTCCTTTGATATGCCAAATTAAACAGCATGAGAGGGTGGGGGGAGTATTGCAACATGAAGAGATCAATAACACTTGACTCTTTGAAATATAAAAATTTCCTCCACAGGTGTAAATTATCCACAGTACATAATGATCTCCAATATTAACGATGGGATGGATCTTATTATACTACGTCATTGTATCTACTTTAAAATATAGACTCTTTTTTGTCCTTTTTAAACAATTTAACCAGTTGTAGGAACTATCAATTAAAAGTGATTCAGAGGCAAAATTGCCAAGTATTCTACTTTCCATCTATAAAAAAAGTCCTATCTGTAAGATGAACTTAATATGCAGCATTCACAGCTTTTACCTAAACAAGTAAACATGCTGTCATGCAAGGGTAGCCATCCCTCCGCTCCGGGGGGCTGACTGCACGAGTGACGGCACCAGGCACAGGAAGAGTGGCCCTTTCTAGGGCCTCCTACCAGCAGAGCAGGGATGCAACACAACCCATGCCTGCGGTGGTACCCAAACACTGTGAGGCTTCGTGCTCTTTCTCAGTCCTTGGCATTGCTTACTCTAAGCATTACTCTAGGGCTAGCACAAAAGCTTTAAGAAAAGAAACACATAATTACTTTCAATAAACAACTGAGACAACTGACAGCAGTTAGCGCAAAGACATACACACATGGCATGTATCTAGTTAGGCCAAGGAAGCTAGATAAAAGAATCCTGCCTTACCTCTTGGAAGGCTAGTCTGTGTTTTCAGGCAGGCAGATTTTCATTTTGTAATCAGCAGGAAAACTGTAAATATACTTTCCCAAAGTAAGGCTGCATTCATATTCAAAATTCAGTCAACTACTTGTTTAAATAACTTAATCAACGACTGTTTAGAGGGCTCCAAAGAAGTGTGGCACATCAGTTAAAGTCGTTTTAAAAGTGTGTGGGTGAGAGTGTGTGTGCATGTGCTCTGGGGGCAGTGTTTGCTGAATTTCTTAGTATCACACATTGTGGATAGGGAAACCTCTTCAAAAGGTCCAGGAGCTTTCGTTGCACCACACGTGGGAATTACAACAGGTGGCTGCAGTCAGTCTCACTAGCTCCCCTGAAGGCTCCACTGAAAAGTGCTTCCACCTGTGAAAACTGTCCTGCAGGCGCAGGGAAACCCGGGTCCACATGGGCTATAATTCGGTCCAATGGGGCAGCTCTGTCTACCCTCCTGTGCTACAGCCCCAGCTGGGCAGGCTGAGTGTGGGTGGTGGCGCAGTGGTGTCACTCAGATGCAGGTGTCTAACTGTAGGGTCTGAATGAAAATCACACTCTTACAAGGGTAAAGAGAAGTAATTCTCTCTAATGAAAACAAAAGGATTATTTAATATAATGTTTTAATATAAAAACAAACTTAAAAATGATCACAGTTCACTTAAAAAGCTATGTTACAAAGCAAAATATTTTACATTTAGATTAAACTATGTCTGGATACCTCAAAATGACACGAGACATATAAGTTACTAGGAAGTGTGCGTATGGGGGTGGTGGTGGTGGTGGTAGTGGTGGTGAGTGTATAAGAAGTAAAGGTTAAAATAAATAAAGAATTGTGGTAAACATCCTTTTTACATCAAAAACAAGCAATGCTCACTGAAGCAGCAGTCAAGAGCTCAAACGGCGCGATGCCCGCATTGGGTAAATCTGCCACACAACACCTCTTCAGAGCAAGTGAAATAGTTTATTGTGCCAGCCTGGCCGATAAACACAAGTGGGATTAACTGAAGGGCAGAGAGAAAAATGCCTTGGTGAGTCTCGCCTTTCTTGTCTCTCACTCTTTGATCATTGGACCCGTGTGTAGCTGCCTTGCTTGTCCTGTGCCTCAATTTAAAGGCTACACTACCTGTGGGACCCCTAGCCTGTGGACTGTGTCGCTGTAAGTTGAGGTCCCTTTAAGACATCGCTGGAGCTGGGGACTGGCAGTTGGTGACCTGGCTGGCAGTTGGTGACCTGCCTTCTGATTGGCTGCTGTGCTGACATAGCCTAGCTCTCTCTATAAATAGAGGAAGATCTGGCAGCAGATCGGACTGGAAGGACTGCTAGTCTCTAACAACTCTCTCACGGCAGTGAGTTGATTTGAGCCATTTGTAGTGTTTTATAACTTAACTGTTTCTTTCTTGTATTGTATATTTAACTGTATATGATTTAACAGTTCATTCCTTGTTATATATCTACTTATCTTTATAAATAAATATATATTAAATTATCAGCAATTTGGTTTTATCTCTCTAGAGAACCCTGTCTAACACAGCAAGGATGCTACTTTGAGGACTAACGGGCGTCTGACCCATGCCACGGTATTTTAAATTGCCTCATATGCATGTGAAAGTTGGGCATTGATAAGGAAGATAAAAGAAGAATTGATGCATTTGAATGATGATGTTGGCAAAGTACAAAAGAACAAACAACTCCGAGAAGAAGTATGGCCATAATGCTCCTTAAAAGTGAAGGTGGTGAGACTTTATTTCATGTGCTTTGGACATGGTAGCAGGAGAGGCCAGTCCCTGGAGCTCATCATGCTGGGTAAACTGGAGGCTCGGTGAAAAAGAGAAGACCCCTTAGCAAGATGGGCGGACAGAGTGGCTGGGACAACGGGCTCAAGCCCAAGAACAGCGGTGAGGGTGGCCCAGGTCCAGGCAAGGTTTCAGTGCCTTCTGAGTTGGAACGGACTTGACAGCACCTGACATCATCATCATCATCATCATCATCATCATCATCATCACCAAATTAAAAACACGTGCGTGTGTGTTCGTGTGCGTTATGTTCTTTATTTACACAGCGCACTGACTGGAGTGAAGTGCGGAAGCATTCCTTTCTTTACTCATTACTTTGTACCGAGTGTAGGATGTTTTGGAAGATTTTAAGTGCAGGACCTCATATGCCCTTTTCATTTACACAATTTGTGGGGACCACTGCTAAAAAGGAGGCCAACAAAAGCCTGGCGAGCCAGCCCATTCCCGGCGTGTGGCTGAGAGCTGGGTCAGGACGGAGTCTCTGTGTCCTCGATTCAGAAACACATGGCAGATCTACTAGTGTGCGAAGTTGCTATGCAGCAGCGAACCAATGATGAGATGGGAAACTGACGTCTTGGTAAGAATCCAGGAAGATAATAGTCACCAAGTACATCGGAAATAGTCTGCTGCCTAGAGGTATTGCCATATATCTGTGTGATTACTACGTTTAAAGGAGACAAGATCTATACATCTTTGGGGAAAACTTCGGAAAACATACAAGTGCTAAACTGTCCGCACAATTTCAGCACTTCCTGTGTCCACAGTGGTCGGTGCACTGGATATGCTCACTACGTGTTCAAAACAGTCAGAGGCTGCACAGAACTACGGCGCATCACACAGACAACACAAACCAGACCCACCGCCATCGACTCCATTCTGACCACAGCAACCTCCGACAAAAGTTTTCGAGGCTGTCAGGCTTTAAAGGGGCAGACAGTTTCATCTTTATCCTGAGCAGCAGCTGGTAGTTTTGAACTGCTGACCTTGTGGTAGCAGGCGAACACATAACCCACTGTACACCACCAGAGCTTCTTGACAATAAGGGTCATCAGTTATTAAAAAGGAAACAAAAAACAACCAAACACCTGGCAGACTTTCTGAATTTTCACTATTTACCAGAGTGCATGCGCCGTGCACACCCCCCTGGAACAGAGTAACATGGAACAGAGCATGCAGGCCTCACAATCCCCCAGTCTCCAGGCGGAAAAATGCTGGGGGCTGTAGCTTTACAAACAACCTGACTTCACGCTTCACAAGGGCCTTGCACCACACATGACTCAGCAGCACGACTGCCCACATTTGAATCAATCCCTAAAATGTCCAGAGGAGCCTCCAGCATGGCCACGCTTACTCACGATATCATCTGGCTCTATAGAAAGGCAAGCAGGTCATAAAAAGAAGGGCAGAGAGGTAGCAATGAAAACTTTCTACTTTCCAATCCAGTGTAATACCCCAGCATTACCCTTGTTTCAATGCCCAAATACTATTTTATCACTTTCTTCTAGTAATATGTACAGATTAGCATGGTTCATTATAAAGCCAAGTCCCTTCTCCACTATTACTTTAGTACATATTCATGACTTTTGGATTCAGTTGAAATTTTGATTTACTCGATAAATTAGATCAACTTGGGAAGGGATGAGCAAATGGCAATTTCTCTTACACTGAAATAGGCGATTCTATGTCGAGTGGAGACCAAGTGTCCTCTCCATTTATTCAATGTTTACGTAAAAGATGAGCTATTTCAAGCATCAATTCATTGTGCGTCTGGATTGAGTCATGAATATTCCAATAATCCCTAACTCATAAACTGTCCCTCTCGCTGAATGAAGTCCCTTCTTGCGGGCTTTTCCCTTCCGATGACATGACACCCTTCCAAGCTCGGGCGCTTCTTCATCTCCGCACAAAACGACACTGCTCCTCTCGCTTTCTCTGTGAGTCTTCTGATCCTGGCTCGAAAAGTCTCACGTGCACACTACTCTGTAATTGAGTTTTGAATACACCAC